GCGGGCAAGGTAACGCCAACAACCCGGCCTCTCAACCCAAAGGGTCCTTGCGCCAAGAACGGCGCCGCAGCAGATCAAGGCTTCGCTAAAGTGCTCTCCCAAGCATCAACTGCCCCTGTTTGCCCAAGACAGCCTGCCTGTAGCCCATCCGTGTTCCTGGGAACAATCCCAAGCTCAGTGTTTTGGAAGCCACAGGTGACGTGGGAACATGGAATTAGTTTGTGACAAAACACCCAAGCACGGATGCGAACCCTCTGCTCCTCACGGTCAGGGAGCGCTGCGACAGGTTAGAGCAGCATCGCACACGGGCGGGAGCGAGGACACGTTCCGCTTTGAGGGCCGTGCAATGCAACCAGGTGACGAGTCACAGAGAAATCCTTGACGCACAGGCCGTTTTACGGCAGGTAAGACAGCGAGTTCGCTGATCTCCACGCAACACGGCTCCCTAGCTTAAGGCCTCCTGCATGCAGGGACACGTCGCTTCTGCCCGAGGGAACGCCAGCGTGCAGCGCTGGAACAGGAAGAACCAGCCCCAAACCAAAACCTCCCACCAAAACGGTACCTGTGAAATCACACAGGCCTATTTACTTCAAGTCACTAGAGCTGGTTCTCCAGCAACACCCTTTCAAATGGACAAATACAGGATTACGGTGTTCAACCTGGAACACACAGCCCTTCACATCCGAGTCAATGGACCGCTGGTAGCTGGAAGAAGACTTACAAGAAGTTTCAGTGCTGATAGATGGGGCTATGATCGATGATGAGGCATTGACTCCATGTGCACATTGAGCTTCATTTCGTTATCAAGAATTTGCACAAGCTGCTGCATGGAAGGAAGGTGGCCAGACTCTAGCTTAGACCACACTGGAACATCTATCACAAAACACAGGGAGGGGAGAAAAGCACCGTTACACTGATAGAGTCAGAAAACACGTCGGGCTACTTTAAACATGAAACTTGAAAGATCTAGGAAGCTATGCAAGCAAGCATATAAAGCTATGGAGGAAAATATCTGGGTCAGCAATGCTCAAAGCCTCTGGCTATGCTAAAACCCAGTCCGACTAGGAGCACAAAGAGGCTGATGCTTCCATTCAGAAGTACACCACAGGGATTTAGAGGTTCAAAATA